TGCTGGCTAACACTGAGGAATATAAGAAAATGGCTGTTACCAGGGAACAATATGAAGAACATGGTCACAGTATTTGTGCTGAAACTTTTGATATCTGATAATGAACTCAAGAGTTTTATGAAAGGTAGAATTTGTTCAGGTGAACAACTCTACACCATCTGCAGGAAATGTGAGCTTTGACTCAAAGTTTGTGGTGCAGATCTGAAATACTGGAAGTAACAGCAAATTATCTTGCATAGGTTGACCCTCTTTTCCATGAAGTTTCCATGGACCAGAGGAAATACTTGGTTTTATAAAGCACTGTCTGGAAGTGTTGCTAGAGATGGTATAGAAATGAATTACTTGTAATTTTTATGATGAACAGAGTGGTTAAATATCTTTTTGAGGTCATGTTTTTTACTTTTTAAAAAAAAAATATTATATTGAATAAGCTATCAGTTTATTAAGAGGACCAGAGAGATACAGAAGCTGTGAGGAAATCCCAAAATAGAATGTATATATAATGCATTGCTAGTTAACATCTTATAAAATGTTAATAGTAGAAAATTTGTTTTCCTGGGATGACAGTCCACAATGTGTTTACTTTATCATTTTGATATTTCATCAAAATATGGTTGCAATTAATGTTACACAATATTATTTGATGTAAACCAAATAAATATGGCATGTAGTACATAAAAAATTATTAACCTAGGTAAAAATCCGTTTTACCTAAAGTATGATGATCTATTCAATGTTAAGATATTTTTACTGTGTGTTTTTATATCTGAAGTTACATGTATCCTTTAAAATTATTGACAAAGAAAACAAAGAATAAGTATGTCTCCTCAGAAAGATTTTAAATCATGTTGGATATGCAGAATTATACATTTGATTGATGACAACAGCCATGTAGTAAGCATTAGCTGTACATGCATCTTTTTTTTTTTTATTAAATCAGTCCAACAGTTAATTTTTTGATTTTTTTTTTCATAAGTTCTCATGGAAAGCATTCTCTTACCTGTATTGAGGTATTGATGGTTCAGCGAAAACGAAGGAGTTACAAAAACATTAAAATTTAGTATCAACCCTATAAAAACTGTATACTGGGTAATGACAATTGAAAGAAAAAAAAGCTCAGATATAAAAACAAGATGTGTTTGTGAAATACTGATGCCCCCCATTTTGCAGCTATATGGCCAAAGTTAACGTTTTTCAAAAGGTCAGGATGTCAAAATTTTTGACACCCTAAGAAAGGCCTTTTCATAAGCAATACGTATGAAACATGAAAAAACCTAGCACCAACTGTTCAAAAGTTATGGCCAAGGTTAAAGTTTTGGGAGAAAGGCAGACGCACAGACCAAAAACTTGTGTTATATTTGAGACAACTTACAATTTATATTCAAAAACTTGTTATTCATATTCGAAAACTTGTTTTTCGTATTCTAAATCTTGTGATTAATATTCGGTATTTGTTAATAATATTTGAAAAAAATGTGATTTATATGCAGTCTTGTAAATTGTAATTGAAAAGGTGTTATCTATATGAAAAATCTTGTGATTCATATTCAATAATCTGATAGATATGCGATAATCTTGTGATACATATGTGAAAAATTGATATTCATTTCAAAAACTTGATATTTTCATGTATATGCAAATACTCGGTGATTCATATTCAATAATCATGAGATTTATATGCGATATGTAATCTTGTGATTTATACGTTAATAAGTTGATATTCATTTTCGAAAACTTGCTATCTATATGCAATATCTTTTTAATCTTGTATTTATATGTGATGATTTTATGATTTGTTATTTATATACTATATAAAACATTATCGAATGAAAGATTATCGAATATAAATCAAAAGTTTTTGTTTTCCAATATGAGTATCAACTCTCTCAATGTCCAGTATACAGTTTGCATTTTTTGTCTGTATTTCCACGATCAGTATCAAAGTTAGGCATCAAAATCTTAGTTCATCAATTCATCACACAAAACATACACCGCTAATGATAATAAATAGAACAGTGATTTGCCCCTTCCACAAACCCCTACCTATCCTAACCTAACAGCTACAAATGAACGATAGAGACGAAAAATTGACGTGCTAAACAAATTATATCATTTACGAATTTCAAAATCATCCGTTAATGCATGGATTTTTAAAAATCATATATGGATAAGACTGTGTATATTTTCCTTGTCAATTTTTTTTATCATTAGTTTACAACATTTTTAACCTCTAATGAAAAATGTTATCTCAGTGAACGTTTTATCATTAGTTATTACGATGGAGCATCATTAATGCTACCATTTCTTTATTATAAAATGAAAATCCATTAACTTATGCAACATTTTATCATTACTGGATTTTTTTTTATCAATATTGGTTGCTACACAGCATTTGCTTTTATATGTACAAATTTGATTAAATAAAACTGTCCACATATTTTTTTTATAGTGTTTCGCCTAAAGTATTGCCAACAATGCTGGATTCTTCACAAGGTTCTTTTAAGTAATAGGGCGTCCTGCATCGTAATTTATTATGCCCGCATAATCGAACACTCAGGGGCATATATTTTCTAGTCTGTCCGACTGTTTGTATATTAATCCGCAAAATGTTAAACTTTAACCTTGGTCATAACTTTTGAACGGTTGGTTTCATAAGTGTATTTCTTGTGACAAGACCCTTCTTTGGATGTTAACGCTTTTGAACTGATGACCTTAACCTTAGAGTTTGATCTTCCTTTGAAAAAAAAGCTTGAACTAAACTTTAACCTTCTCCATAAATTTTGATTGGTTGGTTATAGGGCTTTCATATTCCATATGTTTATTTCCTGTGATAAGACGTTTCTTTTGGTTACAACATTTCAAAGTGCCATTGGCATTGAAATTTGATTTACTTTTGAGAAACATTAACTTGGACTTATTTCCTGAACGATTGAATCAAGGACTTTCATATTTCACATGTATATTTCTTGTGACAAGATCCTTTCTTCGGGTACGTACTCTGTACCAACATTTTTATTCCCCCGTATCGAAGATTCGGGGGTATATAGTTTTTGCCCTGTCCGTCCGTCTGTCTGTCTGCAAAAACTTTAACATTGCTCATTACTTTTGATTGGTTGAAGCTATGGCTTTCATATTTCACATGTGTATTCCTTGTGACAAGACCTTTCTTAGGGTACCATCATTTTTGACCTTTTGACCTTGACCTTGGAGTTTGACCCAGTTTTACAAAATTTTTCCCAACTTTAACCTTGGCCATAACTTTTGAACGGTTAGTCCTAAGTCTTTCATACTTCACATGTGTAATCCTTGTGACAAGTCTTTCCTTTGGATACCAACAACTTTGACCCTTTGACCTTCACTTTGGAGTTTGACCTACTTTTGAAAAAAAACTTTAACATTGGCTATAACTTTTGAACGGTTAATGCTAGGGTTTTCATACTTCACATGTGTAATCCATGTAACAAGACCTTCCTTTGGATACCAACAACTTTGACCCTTTGACCTTGACCTTGGAGTTTGACCTACTTTTGAAAAAAAAACTTTAACCTTGGCCATTTCTTTTGAACAGTTGCTTCTAGGGCTTTCATATTTCATATATGCAATCCTTGTGACAAGACCTTCCTTTGGATACCAACAACTTTGACCCTTTGACCGTGGCATTGGAGGTTGACCTAATTTTGAAAAACTTTAACCTTCTCCATATCTTTTCAATGGTTGCTGCTAGGGCTTTCATATTTCACAGGTATATTCCTCTGTACAAGATCTTACTTTGGGTACCATCATATTTGATTTGCATTTGAGAAAGTTTAACCTTCGCTATAAGTTGCCATACGGGGGCATCAGTGTTTCACAAACACATCTTGTTGAATTGTTGACATTGACCTTGAAGTTTGACCTACATTTGAAAACTTTAACCAAAGCAATGAGCTGCCATACCAGGGCCTCAGTGCTTCACAAATGATTGGCAACAGTAAATTTTGATTCTTAATGCCAAGGAAAAAATAAAATGACCTTTACCTGCCTTTCCTATTAAAATAAAACTGTCAAATTCAATCTAAATTTTAATTAAAATCATCACTTAGTGCTATTGTCTTCTTGAATCTGTGAAAATTTCATTTTGAAATTTTTTAAAACAATAAATATAAGAAGAATCAATGATTTGTGTCAAATTTGCCGGTATGTTCAACTTGTTTGAATATTATTTTTATCTCCATCCTTTGGTATATTTTTGTCATTACAAAACGAAAAAAAAAAAACATTTTAATGAGCAAATTCATCTTCCATTATAAATAGAAATCTTAGATTATTTATGGGACAGAAGAAAAATTACATTGAAGAATTATACATGGTAACACCGTTCATCGCTATCAAGTATGAGAATAACTGTTTTGATAGATTTTTATAGAAAATTATATTTTTAAAAACCACAGCAGCATTCATAAAAAAATGTATATCCAAGGATCATTATTTGATTTATTTGTTTTACATAGTTTCAAATATAATTGCATCTTTTATTACAAGTACATGTTCAAATCCTCAACACAATTTATCGAATTCAAAAACTGAATAAAAGAATTTTATTTCTTAGAATAGAATGCCTACTTGTTTACCAAGTTTTGTTAAAATCGGATTAAAACTTTAGGAGTTGTAGCTCTTGAAATACAAATGATTACAGTGAATGAGACACAGATAGAAGAAAGACACGTAAGCATCGCTTAAATTTTTCTGGCCCTAGACTTGTAGAATTTAAAATGTAGCATTTCAAGAAACTCATTACCGGTACTTTCCTGCAAATGCAGTAGTAAAGATGGTATGAAAGTGGTCAGATTCTTGATAAAGAAAAAAAAAACCCCACACAAATAATAATACATGAACATACATTCACATTATTATGTCCAGGATTTTTTTTTTACAGTTATGCCCATGCATTATAGGACATACAGATGTACATGCTAAAATTAGGTTTATTATTTTGAAGGAAGTCAATTATAACATCCGTTCAATTTTAAATGCATGTAAAAAAAAATATCTGCAAACTTATCCATTACATCAATTTTATCAATACAAATTCATATCTACTCTTATTATGATAAAATTGTGTAATGACATATAGTACAGAAAGCGTTCCCTCTTCTAATATAAAGGGATTCAATGTACAATGTCATAAAATGTTACAAAAAGCCTTCTCTTCTAGCATTAAGGAATCTGTACAATGTCATATATTTTCCTTCTAATATTAAGGAGTTCGTCAATACAGCTGGTCCTCTGAACCTGCAGAAAATTGTGTTGGTGTTTCCCTGGGTAATTTTTCCAGTTTGAAAATGGAGGAATCAGACTGACTGAGTCTTGATTCCTGTACCTTTTTATATTTTCTTTGTTGCTCTGCTGATCTAAAAGGTAGGAAAGTTAGGAATGAAAGCACATACATAAACTTTATAAATATTATAAGGTTTATATTGCTTGATTCATCTTGTAATACACACTTCCAGTTAAAATGAAAAATGTAAATGGCATTTTTGAAATTGGTTGTCAATCCTTCATGACAATGTTTTTTAAACAAAAAATTAGAATAATATTTAATTTCTTTTTCAAAATACTGACTGCATTACATATAATATGTATTTGGCGTACTGACCTTCTACCTCTACGGATGAGAAACCCGGCCGTGATTATCAATATGGCCGCTATAGCGGCCACCCCTATGACGCAGTAAATTGCCGTATTTTGTATGGCCCTCTCTCTTGCTGCAGAAAAAAAATCACAAAGTGAACACAAACGCATACAAGTACAAGTATTTCGAATTGCAGTATTCTTTCATATTTTGCATTATAGTCTCATGATATCAATCTAACCTCTCGCCGAGGGTCCAGTTTCGATGACGTCAGAATCAGAATTTTTAGAACCTGAACAATAAGTCAGAGAAAAAAAGTGTTTTAATTATAGTATATCTTATTTCTATGTATGGTATTATCCATTTTCCTGAAAGAAAACTAATATTTCTTGATTTATGTGTCGTTGTTAAACTTTAAATAACTCTTAACAAAGAATTTTGACAGATTAAAAATTTCTAGTAGAATAGTAAATGTTAGAAAAAGAATTCACACTTTATTGATTATATATAATAAATATAGTATGCAAATTAACTACATGTTTGCACAGGCAAGATACATGCATATGTTACTAATATTGCATATTGAAGATTATAATAACCTGGAGATGGTGTTTTTGGTCCTGACGAATTTGTAGTTTGATTTTTGTAACTATTTCCTTGGTTACCAGACGACGTCACATGTGAATGCGAATTTTTGGATTTCACTGTTGTTGTTGATTGTGTTGTTGGAGTTGTAGTTAAGAGTCGTGGATTGCATTCAATTTCAAAATCCCCTTTGCTGACTAAACAACAATTAAATGTATACATTTCTTAACATTCTTGATTTCAATTAAGCAAAACCATGGGAGAGAAATATTTTTAATATATATATAAATCAACAATTTAGAAATACGAAAAAAAAAAAACAAAAAAAAAAAAAAAAAACAACCAAAAAAACAAAAAACAAAAATGAGGTGGATCTTATGGTGGCATATTTCTGCCCCCTACATGCAAGATAAATTATATTAACATGCAACATAATTATGTAGACATGCAACTTATTTATGTCAACATGTAAAATAATGATGTTGACATACAAGTTATGAATCTATTTAGAGAATCTAATTTTAATCTTACTCTTACTAACGCTGTTAATCTTACTAACGCCATTATATGACATCATACAAGTAATATGTAGCAGAATTATGTTGACATGCGACTTATTTATATCAACATGCAAGGTAATTATGTAGACATGCAACTTATTTATGTCAACATGCAAGATAATTATGTTAATATGCAAGTTCTTTATGTCAACATGCAAGATATGTATGTTGACATTAGCAACTTATTATCTTGCATGACATAAATATTATTATAATATAACTCGTATGTTGACATCAAGAAGTCGCATGTTGACATACATAAGTTGCATGATGACATAAATAAGTTGCATGATGACATAAGTAAGTCGCATGTAGACATAATTAAGTTGCATGTTAACATAATTATCTTGCATGTTGACATAAATAAGTTGCATGTCCTAATAATTATGTTGCATGTTTGCATAAACAAGTCGCATGTTGACATAAATATCTTGAACGTTAACATAATTATTATGCATGTTGACATAAATAAGTTGCATGTCAATATAATTCTGTTGCATCTTGCCTGTATGATGTATACTGGCGTTAGTAAGTATGTTTACTAACATTACAATTAGATTCTCTAAAAAATTGGTAATTTGCTTGTCAACATAATTATGATACATGTAGACTTAATTATCTTGCATGTTGTCTTACTTTTCTCGCATGTTAACATAATTTATCTTGCATGTCGGGGGCAGAAATATGCCACCTTAGGATCTAACTAAAATTTCATTGCAAAATACGTCTACTTTACCATCAACGAATATCCAGACACTTTGAGGTTCTTCCCCGTCTTCAGAATATGATATATTTATAGAATTTCCAGTTGAAGAATAAAGTTTTGCATATTCGCCATAGATGGTGTCGATTTGACATTCAATGGTCGTCACATTGTTGTTGTCGCTAATTATCAGCATATTCGTTGCGTTTATACAGTCCCCGGTTAGATTTTGATTAATAGGGTACTTTGGTTGCAATCGCACATCAACAGCATATATGTTGATTGTCGAATTTTCCAGTGATTTGATCATACAGTCACAGGTATTTCTAATGTTTAAGAATCGTTCCCTGTGGAGATACAAGCCTTTATTTGTCGAGGTCATTTTCTGATAGCTACAGAAGTTCTTGATTTCTGATTCTGTCAAAAGAAAACAATTAAATGTTATCAAACTAACTTTAACGAATGATATTAAATGAAATAACTTTGCTCCTTTGCTTATGCTTATGCGCAATAATCTGTAATACTTCCCGTGTTTTCAAAGTAGATGCCTTAATGTCAAAAATAGAAGAGAATTTTAATCATTTTGCAAAAAGGCACAAGAATATGCTTCTAAGTTGAATGTATGTATGCACTCAAAAATCCCACATTGAAAAGCAGAATATGCATATACTTATTTCCTGAGGAAGTAAGAAAATGTTGCATATACTTCATTAACTGAGAAAAAAAAAAGAACAAAAGTATTTGTGGCGTGAGGTGATAGCATGTTGCATCGCCCAAGTCTGATTTTTTCCCGAGTTTATGTTCTTTCGATTTGTAAATATCGATTCATCTTCTTCGCACGTTATTTACAAGAATTCGTAAAGATTGTTAAATTCAGTCAATCTTAAATTTTACTCGAAAGAATACACAAGGTATTGAAAATATATTTGTATCTGATGAGTACCTTTTACACAGTTGAACACCACCTGAACATAGTTAGAGGAAGTGCCTCCACATCTCATAATGGTCCAAGGAGTTGCTGTATTTTGAGAAATACTATTTAATCCAGACAGGCGAGAAAAATATAAGTATTTATTGGTATAATCAGTCACATCCTCTAAACAGTCGCCTTTTTCATATGAACAACACGTATTATTGTTATGCTGCTTTGTCTGGAGGGGACAGTTTTCGCTAGATGATTTTGCACCATACTGTAGTTTTTGGATGGCAATAACCTCTGTGCGGTTGGCACACATCGAATTCATGTAGTAGTTACCATGACATTTGGATGTTATATGTTCACAGAGAACTGAAATTGATAAAATTATAATGTTAGATCTCTGATAAAACAAATTATTGGAAAATTGTCAGTCTAAGAATATATTCTTTTGTGATATTGAATAAATACATTGTACGAGAGGCGTTCAATAAATAATAACTGTTAAAAAAATAACACAAAAATATTTTTTCATAATTTTTTAATGGTTCCCTTCAAAATACTCTCCTTTGACAGACACACATGATTTCAACCGTTTTATCCAAGCTTTGAATGCATTCATACAATGTTTTTTTGGGTATGGTATTCATGAACTGATAAATGGCAGAACCCAAAGCTTTCCTTGAAGCATATCTTCTTCCTGAAAAGTGCTTTTTCAATTTGGGGAAAAGAAAAAAAGTCACAGGGAGACAAATCGGGTGAATAGGGAGGGTGGGTAAAACATGAACCTTTTCATCTCACAATCTGGGATTTATGTGCTGGGGTGTTGTCATGAAGAAGTCGAATGTTGCGAATTCCAGACTTTGGTCTCTTCCTTTCGTAGTGTTTCTTAACTTTCTTTAGCACAAGATTTTTATATACGTGTCCGGTGATTGATCTGCCTTTTGGAATAGCTAGCTGAACTACAGGACCTTCACTATTAAAGAAAATTTCATATGATACTTTCTTAGTACTTTGACATCGTTTTGCGATAACAGGGCGTTTTGCCTTTTTAGTCAACCACATCTTGTTATCAATTTTCCTCTGAGGTTCAAAATAATGTATCCATGTTTCATCACCTGTAACAATTTCCGAAAAACGTCGTGCACATAGATTTTGTAGATTTTAAGTAATTTCTTAGACATTTCAACACGCAATTGCTTTTGTTCTTCTTTTAAAAGATGGGGTATCCATCGTGCACTAACCTTTCGGAGGCCAAGGTGTTTCTTTAAAATTGTAAAAACTGTCCCCGATGAAATTCCTGCTAAATTTGCTATGCTTAAAAAATTAGCAAATAACCATTGCTTAATCGACCATAATTAGTGATGGTATTGGTTATTTTTGCAAGTATTGCATCAGTTGAAGCCGTTCGAGGTGGTCCAGGACGTTGCTTATCCTTTAGGTCTGTTTGGTCGTATTAAAATTTGCTCACCCGCCTGTAAACTTGTCTTAGTGACATACACTTGTTACCATACACATCACATAATTCTTTGAAAATTTCCTTTGAGTCTTTTCCTAGTCTGACACATGCTTTAATGTAGCCTCTAATTTCAGCCTTATTGGAAGATGACTTACCAGTCATATTTTCATACAGTGTCTCGAGTAGGGGTTATATATCAGTTTCCCAAGGGAGTATTCGATGATGAAACCTGGTCAGATAAACGACCATAAATAGATTATGAACCAAATCATGCGTGAAAAAAAATCTAAAGATCAATTGAGCCCTGTGTTTTATGGAATCTGATTGGTGACATTATTTATTGAACGCCCCTCGTAATAAATGTATGCCATTGCAAATAAATATCTACAGGACTAGTAAGTTATTGACGCTGAAAAAATACGTCTATGTTTAAAGATGTAATTGTCCACTTTTAGACATCACAACTTCACATTACAGTTGGAGTGAAAAAAAAAACAAAGATATTTGATTTTCCCCCACTTTTAGTTTTTTGTACGCATACTGCTTGGAATTTCAAGAATGGCTTCGGACATCGTAAAATCCCTGTTAATGTAATCATTTCATTTGGTAGATGTTGACTTTTCCTTCACTAAGTACTTTACATCAGTAGGGCATTGGAAAAACTCTTAAAATTGAGAAACAAGGATTAACACCCATAGCTAAATGTCGTAGGTCCATGATATATTAATTAATTTGGCAATTTACAATTGCCTACAATGGTTAATTTAGATTTTTTTCTCTCTTATTTGGAAAGAAAGGGGTGATCCCCTTACATGTGTGATTTTAAGCATCAATCTCTTTTTATTAAGTTTCTTACTCATTTTTTATCTTTTAAAACAGGAAAGTTCTCAGCATCTTAAATGTCTTAAGAATCTTAAATATGAACAAAAGAAAATGATGATATTATACTTTGTTTACTCTGTTTTAAGTCTTTAAAATACATGTAAATGGCAAAGTATGATTAAAATAAGACCTCACGTAAATATATACCATGCTTAAAATGCCATTAAATATGAAATAGGTCAGCTTTAACTTTTTAATTGGTCTCAATTTTGATAAATGTCAACATATAAAAGGGCTCTTTTATCTGAAAGATTCAAACACCTACACAAATTAAGGGATATTGACCCCACGTTATGCATCATAAAAATGAGTGTCAGTGATAAAATTGCTATTGTTTACTTTCTTTAAAATACTTTACGGACCTATAAGATCCATTCATTCGTGAACAGAAAATAACATTAAGAACTGACTTTGTTACTTATTTAAAAAATTACATGGCCTTTTCAAACATTATTTTATTACTAAGATAAAGATTCCCAATTTTCTTTTTAATTTGTTTATAATATATTTCTGTTCGATCTTTCAAATTCGGATTACGACTACCGTAAAACTGATATTTTGACAGGGATATGATTTTAAACTTTTTGACGAATTATAAAGATTCACCGAAATAAAAACTACTATTTTAAGTACTTTTGTACATACTTGTTCTACAAGTATGATAAAAGAGTCCTTTTTATATTTCAAAATGTGTACACTTGTTATAGGACTCTACGTTGATTGATAGTACATGTATATTTCATGATGCCCTTTAATACTTGAAGTACAAATTTAAATATTCTTACCAGAACTTAGAAAACTGGCGACCAGTATGAAATAAAACTCCATTTCCTTTCATTGTAAACACCACATAGACTTTGACGTTTTTAATTTACACACGTTTTTCTTTTGTGACCCACATGATATTTACAATTGCATGTACAAGAATTACTAATGATAAAAGTTCTGATTACACGAGGGTCAACGTACACCTACTGCATATTTATTGAATATAGATATCCTATCAAAGTTACCTAGCGAGCCCTAATCACTGCTACCAAGCGAGCTGTTTAATCTTTATAACAGCTTACAGTTAAAAACAAACATTTACTTTGTTTTTGCTTCCTTGATAAGAAGTGCCATTTCTGCAGATTTTTCAAATATTATAACACACAACTGTAGTGAGAGAGATATACTATCAATTAATATTTTTAGGTCACCTGAATCACTCAGGTGACCTATTGCTATCTGTTTTTTATTCGTCATCGTCCGTCGTCCGTTGGTCGTAAACTTTAACATTTTCAGCTTCATCTCTTGAAGCACCGAAACAATTTTAACCAATTTTGGCATATAGCATCAATTGTCTACGGATTTCTCCGTTTTTCCCGATCATGACAAGGAGCACACGGCGGGTGTGACCGGTCGGCAGGGAATACTCACTCTTCCATTGCACATGATCCCGTCTCTGATATTTTTGGAGGTCCTCGTTTGCTCTGCCCCCGAATTTATTGTCTAAATGGACTTTGAGATTAAATACTGTTCGTTATCTCCATATTACATCAATTGGTGAAGGGGTAAAAAAAATTGTGAATTTCATGGTTTCTTGATTAGAAAGTGAAAGTGTATTATTGCGTTGAAAATCGTCTTCTCTCCTCCTAGGTATTTAGCAAATAAACCAAGTATATAGTTATGACTGATAAGCAAGGGTGCCTCTTCTAAAATTGGGAATTTCTTGGCAACTGGGTCAGGGATTCTGGTGTTAAGGCGGGGCTCTATTGATCAAAGAGTGAAATGCATACATATTTTTTAAAAAAAACTTCTCCCCCCCCCCCGTATATAAATTAAGCAGATAAATTAGGTACATGTTATGATGATCAAGTGCATGGCTATGATGATTAAGGGTGCCTCTTCCAAAGTTGTGAAATTTGTTTCTCCATGGTGAGGGTTCTGCAGGAGGGGGCTCTTATAGGTATATAGTGAAAGTGCATTATTTCTTTGAAGATATTCTCTGCTCCTGGGTATTTAGGAGATAAACTAGGTGCATGGCTATGATGATCAAGGATGCCTCATCTAAAATTGTGAAATTTGTGGCCACAGGGTCAGTGTTCATGTTGGGGCATCTATTGGATATATTGAACTATTGATTTCTTTAGTCCGCATGAGGATAGTGACAAATGGGGGAAAGTACAGGCAAATAAATAGATCAACTTAAGAATTTGTTACTGTGTACTAAATATTTTGCTGATCTCTGATCATCCCATTTCTCTTGTTTTTGGGCAATTAAGCTTCATCTGTCAGCTTATTTTGTTATCTCTGAATCGTTACATCATACTCAAGTGACCCTTATGGCCCTTGGGCTCTTGTTTATCATTCTTCTGGAAATATATTGCAAAAGTTCCTGTATTCTTCACAGTTTAAGCTAATTTTATGTATAGAAAAATTACATTAATTTACGTCTCTTGAATATGCGGAAGTGCATAAATATCTGAGGACAACAATGTTTTATAGAAAATAGCACTTCTGTTCGTTTCTGAACATGCTATTGCATATTAATTCTTTACAAGAAAAAAAAAGCGGATTATTGAATTCAATAAAGTTAAAAATTATTGAATTAGAAGTGCCTTAGGTACATTGTCTGTGATGTCAGAATGGTAAATCTATATACAACTGTGCAATATTTGAAAATCTTTGCTAGCTAGCATTTAGAAAATATACTGAATACATAGTTATATCACGCAAAGATGCATAACGTACATTTAAGTATCAAGGGCACTAGAAAACATTATGGAAAGATGAAGATGAAGATTTGATTACAAGTCCTGTTTTACAAAAGTGCCTACTATATGTGAATAGTCTTCCAGTATATTGCACAATAAAATCGTCACGTGAATAATTGTTTAAGTAGTTTTTTGTTCCATTATTTGATTTTCATTATGCAGATTTATCAACGATCGGCAAAGTCTGCAAAAACGGTAATATGGTATTCATTTTATGTGATTGTAATATACACGTATGTATATGTTTTTAAAATAATTATGTTTTCATTACTTTATTAGTCCTAAAAAATAAAGCTGTGAATCCACTAGATTTAAAAAGCTCTAAAACATTAAGATGTACGATCTTTATTGGAGGTAAAAAGGAGGACAATAAAGGAACAGAAGGAATAACACTACTGAATGGTTTTAATTTGGTCTACAAAATCAGTGTTTCTTACACCTTGCTGTAAAGGCCAGTGGTAAAGGTGAAAGACTCACCTCGTTCAAGAAATTGAGCCTTAAAATGTTAGTCTGAATTTACCATGGAATGTAAATACAGATCATTCGGTTAAGACCATATACTGGTTCACCAAGGTCACCTGTCGTAGTAGGTGATGGCACAAAAAGACCCCTCTATGCCCAATAGCTCTGAGTGCGAGTACAGGTCTAAACGTACAGCTCTCCATATTCAGTAAGTGGTCTATAAACTACCAAAATGGTTGAAATATTCTCAAAGAGATGTAAAGCAAACAATGAACACTTCCAATCCCTAGTTTACACAAAAGTCATCCCATATCTGTCAGCAGCAAAAGTCAAACTTGCAGAAAATCCCCATTCAGAAAAGGAACCTTCTATTAGGTTTAGAAGATACTATTGAAGAAATAAAAAAAATATATTTTCGATTGGAAATTCCACAAAATATAATGTTTGGAAACATGTATTGTACTGTCAAAAGTTTTTCAAAGCCAAGGGATATGCATGCTTAAAGTTTATTGATATATAAACAAACTCTTCTTGCAGCAATTTATCACAAAAAAGGCGTTCAGTGTCTCATTTAGTGATAACAGTTATGTTCATGGAATCAACTAACTGAAGGGATATAACGGATATTCTGATCTATTAACTATTGATTGCACAAATAATTAATTTTCCAAGCATTCATTACGAAACACATTTTCAAGAAAAGTTTAATTGCATGAACCTTTTTCCCAAATATACAGAGCCTGAACACTATAAGTTGACCCACCTGATGAACTTTGTCAAGATGTGGCTAGGTATGAAGATAAATGTGGATTTGTCTTCGTAGATTTTATTTTGAAATGAATTATTAACAAGTAGTATGGTCGACTTTTTTGTAGATAGCTGTGGAGAGAGAGAGAGAGAGAGAGAGAGAGAGAGAGAGAGAGAGAGAGAGAGAGAGAGAGAACGAGAGAGAGAGAGAGAGAGAACTGTGAACATATCCTATATGAGTGCTGCAGATTTGTTGGCATCGAAAGGATTAGCATTGCTAATGCTTTTGGCTGCTTACTTTGATGATTTTTCCTG